CATACCCTGGGAGTGGTGACGGCAGTAGTAGTAGAAACCTACGGTAGTTTAGAAAAAACTGTAATGCTAAGTTGGAGTAGAGATTCCCTATTAAAGGATAATCTTAATATTGCAAATACAATAAGTCTTAAGAGTACACAGATTTTACCATTGTTCACATTGATTAAGAGTTTCTAAATAATATTTTTGCCAAGGTTATCTGACTTTGCCTGAGTGTTCTGGTAGTGTAAGCGTCGACCTCACAGATTTTTGCCAAAAGTATTTGATTGCCTTCACACACATATAAACTTGTGTGACATCCCATTCTTTAGGGTTCAATATGATGTGGGTCCACCCTTTGCAGTTAGAACAGTGTCAACTCTTCTGAGATAGGCTTTTCACAAGGATTGGAAATATGTTTATGGGGATCTTTGACCATTTTTCCAGAAGCAAATTTGTGAGGTCAGACAGTGATGTTGAATGGGAAGCCTGGCTTGCAGTTTCCACTCTAATTCATCCCAAATATGCTCTATCAGGTTGAGGTCAGAACTTTGTGCAGCCCAGGCAAGTTCTTCCACACCATTCATGTCTTTATGGACCTTGCTTTGTGCACTGGTGTGCAGTCATGTTGGAAGAAAAGAGGCCATCCCCAAATTGTTCCCACAAAGTTGGGAACATGAAATTGTCCAAAATATCTTGATATGCTGAAGCATTAAGAGTTCTTTTCACTGGAACTAAGGGGGTCAACTAAGAGGGGGACTAAGGGGGCCTCCACACACCTCCACACCATAATCCCCCACTCCACCAAACTTCAGACAAGTTCTGCTCTCGTGGCAACTGCCAAACCTAGATCTGTCTGTCCATTGGATTATCAGACAGAGAAGCGTGATTTGTCAGTCCAGAGAACACGTCTCTAGAGTCCAGTGGCGGTGTGCTTTATATCACTGCATCAGACACTTTGCATTGCAACTGCTGATGTAAGTCTTGCATGCAGCTGCTTGGCTATGGAACCACATTCATGAAGTTTGGAGGTCTGTAGTGATTGACTGCAGAAAGTTGTCGACCTTGTGCACTAACCCCGATCTGTAATTTGATGTGCCCTTAGTTGCGGTTGTTCCCAAGCACTTTGTTACACATCCACTAACATCTGACGGTGAAATATTTAGCTGTGAGGAACATTCACAAGTGGACTTGTTGCATAGGTAGCATCCTGCAGTTTCACACTGGAATTCGCTGAACTCCTGAGAGTGACCAATTCTTGTTTGTAGAAGCCGTCTGCATGCCTACATGCTTAATTTTATAGAACTGTGGCCGTGGAATTTATTGGAACAATAATTTGGATGGGTGAGTGAATACTTTTTGGGAATATAATATGGGCTTATATAGAGTTATCTAGAGTGGACGATCCACAATGTAGGCACCAGATGTCTACTTTATATTTTAGGTATAATATTTGGTCACTGACTCCTTTTTTGAACTTCGTTTATTGGAGAGAAAAAACCCTGCTTAAACATGTGTTTAAAGCAACTAAATCAAAATCACATTAATTCATAAAAAGGAGAATTGTTTTAGGTTGATTATAGTTAATGCAAATCCACACACTGAAGCTGATCTAAAGCTGATCTAAAAGAAGCTTTTACAGTGGCCAAAATATAGACTTGAGTCAGTCCAGATAATCTGGTAAAAATATGCTTAAGCAGCTTCCCCAAAGCTCTGTTTTGAATATTGTATCTCAGTACTGAAGATTAAAACACACTGCCACACTTAACGGATCGATATAGTGCTGTGTGATGAGCCAGATGCAAACAAAAACATTTCTTTTTACTGTGGGGCAGATAGATTTTAAAATGATTTATAATGAAGCCCACACATTAGATATGGAAGCACTGCAGCATTGCAGAAAAAAAGTGGTGATGATGTGTAATGGGGTGCTTAATTGCATACCTCTTCAGACCACAAAGTTGTCTGAAAAAAACCCAAAACAACTTCTGCTACATTACAGATTACAGCAGAGAGGAGTTTGTTTTTTTAAGTGCTGCTGCTTCACTGTAAGTGCACTCTGAAAACACTTAACCTAACCTAACATCGGTTTGATTTTCCACATTTGCCTGCTCTGTTTGGGTTCACGGTGGGACAAGAATCACTGAACAGAGCACCCTGGGCAGGTCACCAGTTTTATTGCATTGAAACTGTGTGGATCCCTAAACAGATCAGAGCTGGGTGGCTAGACAGTGCTGCCCTAAATACTGCAGCACAGTTATCAGAGGTTTTGGCTTCCAGAGTGAATCATGACAGTTTATTTTTTATTGGTGGGTACTGTTTCAGTTTAGTCTTTCTGACAATTTACATTGTCAGGATACAAAATCTTTTCTTTCCTCCTGAAATCTACTTTTTAATTTGTATTTACATTTTAGATTTTGGTTTACCTTTTAATTACAGTATGATGACCTTGTGCAGTACAGTACTTATAAACATTGTAAAACAGTTAAACATTCTAGGAACCAGTGTGATTAAAAGTACCCTTTTGAACTGTAGTTGCACTCTGTTCGTGTTTATCACTGGTGGGTTGCACAACAATTTCAATAACATGGACTGCGTTGGTTTAAAAAACGTAGCTCTCCTGAGGGAAGAGTTGGCGGGAACAGCACTCAGCACATGGGATGTAGCCACAGTTGCACTGCTCATTTGCACTGACCTACTTCAGGGTCTTTTAAAGCACAAGTTACTTAAGAACTTTTGGGCCTTCTCTATAGTATTGTGTAATTTTACAAGGTGCTGTATTTCTGAACTGACCAGCATACAGCTGAGACACAGGACTGCTTCTCAATTTTATTATCCAAATCTACTAGATTTCAGTCAATACTATTCTTAATAATTTTATTATATACAGGTATTGATTTTGTTTGAAAAGCAAGCCAGATCATTACTGTGAAAGACACTGTAAATCACATCAATTCAGGTATGGAAGTTGTTATTATTTAGCCAGATAACAGATAGAAATTTGCTGTTATTGATAACAGTGGCAATAGCTAGTGATACAAATTCACAGTACTCTCATACACGAGTCTGCCATAGGACTACAAACTAAAAGCCCTGTGTGGCCACAGCGAAGAGCAGACTACTGCAATTTGGCTCATGGCTTTTACTAATCCTGACAAAGCTATTATTTGTCTGCTTCTGTGATTTGAACTGCAGGCGCATCTCCTTTATTTAGTTTTCAATTTCCAAGAATTAGTACAGAGCGTTATAAAGAGAAACTGGGTCAAAATGTGTGTATGTGAGGGAATTTGAGAGAGCAAGGAAGAGGGGGAAGAGAGAACATCATATTCAAGAAGTCACTTCTGATCACTTCAGCTTCATTCTTCATTAGAGAAACAACAGAAAGACAGATTAAAAAGCTTTATTCAAACTAGCATGATCAGGCAGAACATTTAAGCCAAATAAGCAACATCAAAATCTGACAATTGACTAGACTTGAAAACAAAGCAAGACCATTCTCACCCATACTGTCTTTGATTCATTAAATGGGATGGAACTGGCTAACATTTGATGCGACTCTCAAAGCATACTGTACAATCTGACTGGCAAATAAGCGAGAAGGAGAAAAGTAAAAAAAAAAAACTGAGCTGTGTACGCATGAGAATTACTCACGTTTACAATACTGAGCACAAGCACCTCCTGTGCCATTCAGTCACAGTGAATACAGAAAATATCAAAAAAGTCTACTGTAGAAAAAACAAAGTACAAAGCACTTCATTTTACAGTAAATGCATGTTTTTTTTGTTGCTTTTTTTTGTTTGTTTCTTTGTTTTTAACTGAAAACCTGCTCTGAAACCAAAAGGCTGAGCCCCACCCAACAAGAAATTCAAGGTATTGTATCATGGGTGTCAGTGTAATTTGTAATACTAGTGGAATGCCATTATTTCATTCATCAACAGTCATGTTTATTTTTTACAATGCAGAAGGCACACAAAGAGCTCATCGTATGTGCAATTCTAAAAAAAAATCATTTTAAACACTGTTCGAATTGGTTCAGGCATGAATTAAACATATAAAACGTTCTTCACAGCGAGAAATCGTTTATTACGTGACATCGTTAGCCTGACAGACAGCCAGAAAGATGTGTTTATGTCTGGGAAGCCTGGTGCAAAAGAGAGGAAGAGAGGTTCAATTTCACTGACTCTAAATGTGAAGACTGATACTTCCTGAAATCTTCTACCTTCACTGCATTACTGAAGGGAGTGCTCCGATCACATTTAGATTCAGATTCAAAGTGCTGGCATCTGCTTAATGCTTTTCACGCTCCACGTATGGGTTCAGCAGATTTCTGAACTTGCAGAGTCTGCACTTTAATGCTGTGAGCATAATTAACACTGTGCTCTTCTTCTCATAATCCAATACTTTTACCACATACAGTTACATTTGATCAATTAGCACCCTAATAAGTGGTATTAATAAGCTCCTTGTTTCTGAGTCATGAAAGTCCTGGGCTTATTCGTAGTGCAACAGCGCTACTTTTGAGGTCAAGAGAAGTATTCTAGTTTTATTATTTATATATTAATATGTACACCATCAAAACAACATTACGTACACTAAACTACAAATATGCAACAAAAAATGCCCTCAAAGAAGCTCACAAAAGCAGCATTAAAAGTTACTACCAAAAAATATATAAAAACAATAATATTCCTAAATTGCCATGCCTGTACCTGATATCCCTTTGTACCCTGGCAAAGATAAATACATTTGGATATACTTGCTCTATATTATTCCTTTGTTTTCATATTAAATTAATCAATTTGCACTTTGTGCAATGAGTGAACACAGTTATTATTTGAACTGTGAACTTTTAAGGAAATGAGCCCGAAGAGATGATAGCTTGTAATAAGCAAATCTTCTCACAGACAGTTAAACTGACATTTGATATTTGATTGTGTTTTTTCAAAATACGGTTCATTGTGTCTGAGAGTTGTACATGTCCCCCACTCTGGCCTCACCCCACTCTGTGATTACCTCAGTTAAAAAAAAAAAAAAAGAGGTGTAAGCGCACCCCTCCTCCAGACCCCTTGCTTAGTACAACGTAATGAGACAAGCTCAAACTACAGTGTGAAAATGAAAATTGTTCAATATTTGTGTAGTTCAATATTTTTGTGTAGCTCATACACGTCAGATAAAAAACGTAAATCTGTTGTTAGTTAACTTTTGTAATCTTGTTATCGTCTCTATACGACTAATCTATCTACAATCAAATGAAAAGAGAAACAATGTATCACCTATAATGTGATTGGGTTTTTTTTTAGTTTTCTTATCTTTCATTCTTTTTCATCACTTTGACACATTCATAACTTCTCTAGTACAACAAATACTGTTTAAAAAATTTTAAATTGAATAAAATCTTTTTTTTTGCTCTTTTTCTTAGAAACTTACTACAGCTGTTTTCACACTTGCACTGTGGGCCTAAACTTTCCTCAGCATTAACCAGCAGAGCTCTACGTGAGAAAGCAAATGTCATTTTGGACATTTAACAGTCTTTACCCTGACAGCTCTTTAGTAAAAACACCATGTAACATCTGAATGCACCCATTTGAGACTAGAGCAGGTAATTGCCCAGTGAATTCACAGCAAGTGTGCTTTCTGCACACTCCGCCAAGGCAGCACTCTCGTCTATCTGGTAATGAGAAAGCATCTGACACCGACTATTCCCCTTTTGCGTGCTACATGTGAAAAGGGCAATTGTAGACAATGTCCTTCAGTAATTCTCTCAATATTTTCTGGAGCACATGTGTGAAAACAGCTCAACTAAAAGCATATGAATCTTACTAACCAGCAAGACCCATAATAGAGTAGAAACGTTTTATTAAAAACCGAAAAAGAAACAAGACAAAAAGGCTGAATCAGTGACATAACCAGCTGCAGTTATGTTATATCAGTATTATGGAAGAAGCATATTCACCCTGATTCACTTGTATATTTAGGTTTAGGCATATTTTGAACTCTTGCTTATATGAAATGCTGCCTGACTTGAACTTAAGAATATTGCAAAGTACTGAAGGTTTCTACAACTACAACACTCAGCTTAAACTCTGGAGAAAAAAGGCAAAATTGTCTATTTAAAAGTTTCAGAACATCATGAAGGGAATGATTTATGACATGAGGTCTGCTCAGTAATGTCCACATATCCTGCCAGAAACTATTTCAAATTGTTGTCTGAATACTTAGTTGTAGAATCATGCAGATTCATGCTTAAAAGATTAACAAAGCTGGAAGGCTGAGGTGGTTAGTGGTCAATGGAGGAAGCAGAGAGAAAGAACAGCTGGAGCAGAGGGACTAGCAGATGTTTTTTTTTGTTTCTGTTTTTTTTTTTTTTTTTACATCTTCTTTGTGAGTCACAGGGAAGATTTTTTAGCCAAAGACTCCCATGAAGAGATGATTATATCATGGCAGTTCTCTTCTGGGCCCCTGCTGAGAGAAAGAACATAGAATTAGCCAACACAGGAAGTAAGTCTTAATATAAACTTACAGAAAGTCCTCACTCATGCAACAGTGGATCGTGACTGGTTACTGCCACCATCATTGACATGTCAATAGACGTTAGGGACTTTTAAATTGAAAGATAAGTCACTAAATCAATCATAATCAGGATTGTTTTTTAAATGTGTGTTTTTTTAAAAAAAAAAAACAATCTACAAATTTAAAAATACAAAAAAAATTGTTTGACTAACATACATGACTAAAATAAAATATCAAAGTCATTAACTGAAATAAGGGAAGCAGAAGGTGTGACTAAAGCATGCACAAGCAAGCATCACAATGTGCTATTTGGTATTTTGGTATGCCAATATTAAACTGTCTAATGTTTTTTTGACGTGGGGGAAAAAAGAATAGGACATAATTCATTTGCGACATTTAAAACGTCACCTAACAGAGTTTATATGTGGAGATCTGAGTTTATATAGTCACTGCTCTCAGGTATGCTGAGAATCCACTCAGGGCAATTCATTCTTTAATCCTTTTTTTATGTCTGTGCCATCACTTTTGCCCTGAATCTCTACCAAGCTAGCCAGATGTGCGCAACACAGATCTGACAAGCAGCCAATTTTATTCTAATCTCAGCTCTTGTTATAAGCTGATACATGGTTTTCTCACTTCAGAGACCAGCCAATTTAGATTTTAATGCTCACAGTAGCAGTGAATTAGAGGGGAGTGTTGTTTTTTTGTGGGCTAGTGTAACCTGTTCTATTTAATCAGGAAAATATCTTGGGAAAGGATTTCAGCAAAAAAAAAGGAAGAATCAGAAAAAAAAATTGTATAAAATCCAAATTTTTAGAGCCAAACGAAGAACGAACACCAAATAGAAAGAGATAGAAAATGTCTACACAATTATAGTGGCTCTACAGATGTAGTTAGCAACCAGCATACCTCCAGTTGTAGAATGGACTTCCTTTCATTTTGAGTACTTAAGAATAGAAAAAAAGAGACAAATTCAGTGGGAATGCAGACACTCGAACTCACGCTCACAATACATCCACATCATACATGGGTGTTTGTCTCTTTCCCTCCATATGCCCCCGTACAACATGCATATTTATGCTGATCATTCAGCGGATCACTCGATTCAGTTTACTCTGCAGGTCCAGCTGTACAAACAGAAACAACATCTGGATCATTTTTTTAGCATCCATGCATTGTTGATAGTCTACAGTGTGCCAGAACACTGCTAGAGACTCATGAGGCATCTCGCTTGTCCTTGAAGACAACCCTCCCACGTCTGATCTTCTTTGTAGTACTCCCCCTCTTGCACCTACCAGTTATGCTATTATTCTGTGCTATGCATCTGCAGTACATGACCTACATGCTACATAAGACATCAAAAAGTGACAATTTTTGTGGGGTGGACTTGTTTGGACTAACTATGCAATAGCAGCACTGATGATTTGCTCTAGAAACACATGCTTGATGAAAAAACTAAACTAAATAAATTGAGCTGTCCTCTTACTTGTAACTTATTTCCAATAATTTTGAAAATAGGTGCATTATTATTCATTACAATATACATTTCACTTGATTAATGTCAATGAAATTACTTATAGTCATTATCAAATTCATCCATTCTAAAAACTTTAGCCCCACTTTTATTTTCAACTCATATCAGATTTCAGACTGCAGAGAAAACTAGCCCATCAGACCCATGACACAGACCCAAGGTAAATAATAGAAAGCGCTTTGATTTTTCAGTCAGTCGTGTCATCCTGAATGCATTTCAAAGTACAAGCGAGGAGTCACTGCAGTGGAAGAAGTACTAAGATCCTTTGCCCAAGTAAAAGTACCAGTCCTACACTTTTAAACAGCCTGAATTAACATTCAAAATCCTTCATAAATATTATTATTAAACACACTGAAAAATTACACATTATTACATATTACAGTACGTCATTTGATTTATATACAGTTCAATAGTTTAAACTAAGCCAGAGGTTGGCCTCCTTCAGGGGATCCCGAGACTTGGTAAAATCTTCACTTCAGGATTAACCTCAAACCTGCAATATTTACTTCTGAAATGTTGTCGAGTATAAGTATAGTATTTCTGATTTATACTTGAATGCAGGTTGAAGGAAACTTCAACTCAAGTGTTTTCACGCTTGTATGCTTTTCATACAAGTTTCACACAAGACAGATACAAACTTTATAAGATTTATATATATCTTTTCCATATGGGCAATTTCAACGTTTTTAAGCTTTTTACCAAACCCATCCGATATTTCTACATACCTCCAGTGTTGATGCTCTGGAATCTGTGGTCTCACTTGGCCCTATGCTCCTGGGTATGCTGGAAACAAAATACCCAGCTCCTTTGGGAATTATGGGCTGTCTCACGACCACTTTGCCCTTCCTGGTCTCTGCGAGGAACAAGCTGTACCAGTAGGCATCGCTGGAGATCAGCGTGGAATCTGCGATAGTGGAGCTTCTCTGGCTGATCACGCTGTTCCTGCTGATCACGCTATTTCTATTGGCTGGAGGGATCTTGATGGCCTTTGGCTTTGGTTTTTGACACTTGAGCACAATAATAACTAAGATGGTTATCAGTAGCAGAAAGGACACGGCTCCTAAACCGATCACTAAATAGAGGTTTAGGTCAGTGAACATGTCATAGTCTAGTGGAAGCTCTGTAGTCTCTGAAAAGGCCATTGCATGTTCCACTGTTGATATCTTGATGGTGACAGTAGCAGAAAGAGAAGGTTGACCATTGTCTTTAGCAACAATTACCAGCCTCTGTTGTCTTGGATCTCTGTAACTAAACATCCTTGTTGTCCGGATCTCACCGTTGTACTGATCCAGGCTAAAGAGGGTTGAATCGCTGATCTGAAGTAGCTGATATGTGACTCTGGCGTTCTGCTCAGAGTCTGCATCAATGGCGATCACTTTGGCCACCAAATGTCCCTTATCAGTCGACCTCGGTATCACCTCCTCTACAACAGAGCCCTGTGCGCGCCAAGGTGACACTATGAGAGGGGTGTTGTCATTTTGATCCAGAATAATAATATGCACGGTACAATTGGTGCTCAGCGGGGGAACACCAGAGTCTCTTGCCTCAATGTGGAAAAGAAAGTCCCTTTCTCTCTCATAATCAAAGGTCTTCAGGGCATAAAGATCACCATTCTCAGGATTGATGGAAAACAACATCGACATAGAAGTGTTAACGATTTCTTTCTCCATTATGAAATAAACCAAGTACTGGTTCTCATTCAAATCTGGGTCAAATGCGCTCAGAGATGTCAATAATGCCCCCGGTGGATTGTTCTCCATGACATGGATTGTGTAGAACGACTGGGAGAATGTAGGTGCATTGTCGTTGATATCCAGTATCTCCAAAGTGATGGTTTCGTTTTCCGATAAGGGTGGCACACCTTTGTCTGTCACTCTCAGTATGATGTCATATTTGCTTATTACCTCTCTGTCCAGTGGTTTTGACACTAGCATTTCAAAGTAACCCTCAGAGGACTTGCTTAAGAGAAACGGTAACGTTTCTTGCCTATTTAGAGAGAGCTCCACTTCTCCGTTGGCTCCAGAGTCCCTGTCGCTCACACTGACCACTGCAATCAGCGTCCCTACAGAGACATCCTCAGTCAGCGAACTTTTCAGAGACTTGATAGTCACTTCAGGGTAATTATCATTGAGATCTGTCACAAACACTGTGACTTTACAGTGTCCTGACAGAGGGTTCGTCCCTCTGTCCTGTGCCTGTATGTGCATCTCAAAACTCTGACTCTCTTCATAATCGATCACCCCCTTCACCTTGATCTCACCTGAATTTGGATCAAGTGAGAATAGCTCTTGTGTCTTCTCCGATGTGTACAGCGTGTGTGAGTATACCAACTGGGCGTTTGTGCCTTCGTCTAAGTCTGTTGCATTTAAGGTCATGACCACCGTTCCTGCTGCCGAGTTCTCCGAGACATTGACTGCATATACCGGCTGACTGAATATGGGGGCGTTGTCGTTGATATCCAGGACGTTAATAATGATGCTGGCTGTGCCGGAGCGAGGAGGCACACCTCCATCCACAGCGGTTAGAATTAAATCGTGAACAGCATGCTCCTCACGGTCCAAATTACCACTAAGCACTAAATCGACATATTTGGAGCCATCGCTGCCGGTCTGGATGTCGATGTTGAAGTATTTGCTTTCACTGAGATAGTAGGTCTTGATTGAATTCGCCCCCACATCCGCATCCACGGCGTTTGTCAGTGAGAATCTCTCACCGGGAAGGGTTGCCTCCGAAATGTCTAAGTGCATTGTCTTTCTGCGAAACACCGGCGCGTTGTCATTTATGTCCATAATTTCCAGCTCGATGTTAAAAATGCGAACCGGGCTTGAAAGTATGACATCCATTTTCAGAAAACACGAGGTTGTTTTAGTCATGCATATGCTTTCCCGGTCTATCTTCTCGCGGATAACCAGCTCCCCCGTATCTTTGTTGATGTCGAGGTAATTTTTACTGTGAATGACATCGAGTTTTGCTTTGCGCTCCTCCAAACTGCGAATATCCAGACCCAAATCTGTGGCCAGATTAGCAACAAAGGAACCCTCTTCCATTTCCTCCGGAATAGAGTACCGAGTGATGGAAAGCGCAAATCCCCACATTGCAAAGAACGAAAAAACACCCACCACTAACCGTGTCCGTAAAGATGCAGGGATAAGCGCCATCGTGTTTTGGTATATATCTTATTATTATTTTAAAGGAATTAATGAAACAAATCCGTTCTTACGCTCAAGTTGTCTTGATGTAGGGGAGCGCCGGTGTCATTCTTGCCTCCACGACTTGTAGCTGTAGCTGCAGCAGGCCATTTACAGCACAGTGCCGCTGGAGGAGGAGAGGGGGGGGGCTCTCACAGCTCTGCTCTGCAGGGGCGTATGCAACGTCTGAGCAGGGCTTGAGCAGACTGGCGAGGTCTCCTCAGTGAAATTAAAGGGTGCCCATATGGAACCCTTCTTTCTTTCTTTGTGTTTTTTAAAGAATATTTTTGGCATTTTGTGCAACAGCTTGCATCATGTGTTGTCTAATAGAGCATAGAGCAAAAAAAAAAAATAAATAAAATTAATTGATTGATTAAAAATTTAAAAAAAGAAAAGAAATGGATGGCTGGCTGGCTGACAGATGGCTGACTGGATTAAAAAACAAAAAAACAAAGAAAAAACAGCAACAACAGCAATAATAACTAGTTCCGGTTAATGTATTTTTTAAAATTAATATTTGATAATTAACTCATTCTTTGCATAATAGCAGCGTCTTTGATTAAGAGCATATCATAGGCTTTAGAAAAAGCATAAATTTGGTGAGCATGTGTTTGCTCATCTCTGGTCCTCTGATGTTATGAAAGTCCATTCATTCAGTCACTTCCACTTTTCAGGGTCGCAGGAGCCTATTCCAGCTGTGATAGGGCAAGAGGCGGGGTACACCAGTCTGTCACAGGGCTAACACACAAAGACAGACAACCATTCACACTCAGGAATTGAACTCAGGACCTTCTTGCTGTGCAGCAACAGTGCTAACCACCGTGCCACCGTGCTGCCTGTTATGAAAGTCAAACAATATAATCAATTGAGTGGGAAGAGTTAACAGAATCATATCCCTTTATGTCTCATTTTTAAAATCATGTTCATTTCATCACCGTCGTCGCTCTGTGATGCCTTTCTGTGTGGAGTTAGCATGTTGTCCCCATGTTTGCGTGGGTTCTGTCAGGGACTGGCAGTTACTGGGGTTAGGTTAACTGTTGATTCTAAAATTTGGCATCAATGTGAGTGTGAATTTTGTTGCTCTCTTTCTCTGTGTTTGCCCTGTGTCAGACTGGTGACCTGTCCAGTATATCGGTGTACCATCTTTCACCCTATGACAGCTGGAATAGACTCCAGGCCCCCTCTGAAGTGGAGAAGCAGAAGAAAAGGAATGGATGTCAGAAACGGACGCCATGGAGGTGTTGCCAAATTTATCTGCTGTAGCTCTCACTGTTACTTGACAAAGAAATGAAGGAGACGCTTTTTATGACCCTCAAAGGTGCTCAGCGGTAAACATGATACAGTGCAACCTAAGGCACCCACACGAAGAACAAAAATGTACCAAAGTGCCCAAATGGATAGAGTATGTATGAAATGTAATGTTTTTTGTAAGTACCCAAACAACAACAAGAAAACACAATAAAGTGACTTTGAATGAAGAATGGGGCTTCAATTGGGGTGAGCTGAGGAAAAGTGGATACTGGAGTTCAGGACAGCGCCTCATTCATTTGAATGAAAGTTGCTTATCAGTGCATATACCAAAGGTCCTCCATGAGGTACTTACATCTGCTTCCACATTTTAGGCCCGTGAGCATGCACATTAGTTCTCATTTAGGACATGTGCAACCAAGACCCTCATTTGCTGAACTGATTGACTTTCTGTTGGCTCCCAGCACACATGAAAGGCCTCTGATAAGATAATCATGCAGCTGTTACAGACTCTCCAGAGCCAAATTAAATGAATTAAACAGTTTAAAAAAAAACCCCCCAATAATTTCAGATGCTCTGAAAAAAAAAGTATCCATCATCTTACAAGAGTTCTTTTTCCAATGTATGTGTAAGGGACAAACGATCTTTGGATCAGTGTGCATCATGTGCATATGATATGATTACTTTTTTAATCATTAAATATAGTTACTGTTTCACTTTTCCTGCCCTATTGTGTTCTATGTGTCTGTGGTTTAATCTCAGTTTCGGTGTTAGGTGTGCCTTCATTTTGTTACATCCTGTTTTATTTGGGCAGCTTCAGTCGCTTGTGTTTGTTCCCAGTTTGGTTTCTTGTCTTCTTGGATTAGTTTCAGCAGTATCTCATTACCCTGGTGTTTTGCATATCCTCTCCTCCTGTGTCTGTTTTCAGTTTGCTTTAGTTCATTGTCCCTTTGCATTCTTTTCCAGGCTGTTCTCTGAAGACAGCCCTCTGCTGTCGCCCCAAGGTTTTGTGGACTTTGTTTTTGGCTGCCACTTGGAGTGAAAAAAGCTAATCACTTAATCAATCATTTGGATCCACGAAACATTCAAACATGACAGAGTATCCTTCTGACCACTTAATGCATGCATTTCCAGTGAAACTGCTCCCTAGAGGCCCATGCAAACTTTTTCAGTTTGCTTGAGCAACTGAAAAATGCAACTTGCATTTGCAACAAGAAAGATTTTTAAAGGGTTATTCTGTTATTAATAGCCAAAAAGAGTCAAGCTCTTAAAAAATATGCTAAATGGAGGTAATGACTCAGTCAAAGGTTAAAGTTCCAAAAGCAAGGGGAAAAACAGAAGATTGTTTGCAATAAGGACAAAGAGTCCACCTTGAAAATCCAGGCATATAAAAAAATATATATAAAAGCTTTAATCATTTTAAATGGTCACATTTTGTTTCATGTATACTTTAAAACCATCTAAAAGTGTTATTTTAAACTGGAGATGCAGTCTTTTTTCTTCTTCTTCTTCTTTTTTACTAACTTTACTGATGAGATGTCAGTGAAGGCAACCCGTCACCCTTTAGTTTAGCTTCTTTTTTTTTTTTACCTCCATGTCTTCATGCAGCCTGAGTCTCTTCTACTAATCCTGTGATGAAAAGTTTCCTTTTCCTTTTGAGCTAAGCTACTGCAAAGAAGCTTCAGTCTCCCCCTTTAATACAGCCTATGCAGCATACAGTGCTTCTCATTATTTCTCCTAGCTGTCATATTTTTACTTGTCAGCTTTTTCTGCAAGCTTAAACCATTTTGTGTTGACATGGCAGATGACAAGATGAGGGTGATGCTTAATCTCTCTCTTTTCCTTTGGCTCCATCCAGTGACAACACAGAAAATTACAGAAAACACTGTACATGCAAAGCACATACCATGTTGTCTTTAATGCATTTGAAAGAATTGCTCAAACACTTTGCTCCTGTGCCATATATGTAAACACTGTTATGTTTTTATTACTATCATGAATTCTTTCAATCTTTCCATGAGTTGACTTTGAGTCTGTGCAGAAAGTAAAATATAGTTCATTACATACCTTCTGTTGTTGGCTGTTTTCCTCAACTTATAACCGCGATTGCCAGGGCAGCAGCTTCACATAGCCCACTGTTTTTGCGTTTTAATTCATTTTAATTAATTATGACACGTTAACTCATTTTAACCTTTTACTCAAGAGGAGGAAGAGATCAAGCTCCTCACCAAGCGTAACAAGAAGCACCGCATACGCCATCTGAGCCTTAATTAGGAACAGAGATTTACTGAATCAGTTTGTTTCAGCTTGTTTAATCATTTGCTAGAAAGATTACAACTACAGGACTGTGCAAAAGTCTTGAACCAACCCTAATTTCTTTTTGAAAAGTGCCCTCCCTCACACCCCATCCTCCCATCCACATTAAATGTATTATTTAATTATGTATATATCCATGATAACTGGATACTTTTTTCATTTCATTTTACGTTTTCAGTGCAGTCCTTGTACCTAAGCATTTTTTGTTTGTTTGTTAAACACTACCTATGAATCATTCAAACATAACAAAAGCATCCTCCTCAACCGATTAACCAGTGTTGTGTCTACATATAACAGACAACTTAGCAAAGAACCAATTTGTTCACATTTCTTGCAAGTGGCAAGCTTAAAAATTTAATTAAATTAATATATATATATATGTGTGTGTGTGTGTGTGTGTGTGTGTGTGTGTGTGTGTGTGTGTATAATTATATATTTATATTGTTTATACACTCATCAATATGTAAGGAGGCCAGGTACAACAGTAGCCATCTGTAAACCATGACAGTGGTTCTGTCATGCTTTGATGATGTGTTTCATTCAGTGGTCTTGCAGAACTTGTGAAAACTGACAAAATATGAAGGGAGAAAAGAACCATCAAATAATGACCTGCTGTGCAAATACTATCTGACTATCTGAAACATCTGATATGCAACAGGTTAATTTTCAGTAATCTCAAACAGTGTGAAATCACCTTGACAGAGGACAGAACAAGAGACTACCCACGTCCAAAAAAGAGCTTTGAATGTCCTTCAAGAAGACTGGAGGACCAGTCCTGAAGACTACTTAAAAAAATTACAATAGAGCTTGTTTAAGAAATTTCTGGCTATGTTTTTTTTTTTGGCTAAAAAAAGGAAGTCATAACAAATATTAACTTTTCAACTCAGAGTGGTAAAACCTCTGTTTTTGCCTTATATACTGGATTTCTTTTTTCAGATGTATCTCTCTGTTTTCAGGATCTTGCCTTGTTCTGGTTTCTCCTGGCAAAGTTTTCAAATATATACTTTTAAAACATTTGGAAAAAGAAACAAAAACAATGAGGCATAAACTTCTCAGAATTTAACACAATTCAGGTTTTCATTTTTTAAAATAATGGAAATAGTAGTAAAACTTTCAAATGAAAGGAGATGTGCTTCAGGGAACATAAATTAAAAATTTTATTTGAGTTTGTTTTACATAATTGAATTAAAAAGCTGCACTATCAATGAATCAGTGCTGACTTCCAAAGATGTACATCTAACATAGATTGAACACTACACTGATCAATAATTATATAATATATTATATCAATATATTATTAGGCTTTCATAAAAATGTATTTCAATTATTAAGGAAATTTTAAGAAAATTTCTTCATTTTTTGTTATTTTATATGTAACAGGAAATAACAGCCTTAACATGAATTTATTCCACTCCTAAACCCTTGCAAGGTTTTCTACCAACTGATAACTCAATCAGTGATCTTAGAACAGAATGCTCTGACATCTCTATATATCTATATCTATATGTATATATATATCTATATGTATATTTATATATATATATATATATATATATATTATTATATATATATATATATATATCATGGTAGGATTTCTGGA